TGAAAAAGTGCTCAGGTTACCATCCTGTCTTGAATGTTCTTTGAATGTTCCCCGCGATTGTAAGTTCCCTAGCATGTCCCAGACATTCACTCGGTTTGTTCAAAAGTATCGCCTAGCTCAAGAACCAAACCGCAAGGTGATGGCTGTTGTAAACTCACTTATGTTCTGGTAACAGCAGAAGTGGCAGGCCCCCGACCCTCTGCGCCTGACATCGCTGTCGCTCTCAGACCGCAAGAGACTGCTTATTTTGCAGCAATCCTTTGATTTAAACCTTTTCAGTATCGAAACATTGTTTTCCCGGAAGAACTTTGAACAAGGCGAAGATCACCAGTTGAGCAGAATTTATTGACGTCACTATCAGCCATATACTTCAAAAAGCCATTAAATTCACTCGTTCGGCTTCAGGAGCGGTTTTTCAGTCTTTGTTTTCGCCTTTTTCCTGAAACCTTTGGCTTCTATAAATTGTATATGTCGACTTGGAACGGTTTCTTCCCCTAGCCAGAAATCCTGGTCTTGGTTTGCGTTATCCAGCCTCTTTTGTTAGCATGTCACGGTGTCGGTGTCATGTAGTATTGCATCCATATCCGCTCTCTCGGATATACTGATAACTAATCATTGTGCTTCACTGAATGCCGAGCAACCTAACTTTTAAAGTTAAACTGCGGTCACATCTGTGACACGCAGCTAGGTTATGTGGATTGTAGTTATTTTATCCTCCCCTAAATCTGTCTTATTTGGAATATTTGACGGTAATCTTTTGTAGTCTAGGGCCATTTCCAGTTCGCTGTCAGGAGCAATAGTTTCAGTTGGTAGAGGTCTTGTTGAGCATAAGCTTGCTGCAACGCGTCACTTATTTGTTTACCAATTTCCCAACTTTCCCTGTTTACTGTCATCTCCACCGTGTCAAAATTCTAATACCAAACAAGGAGTGCCTGGTGAAACAATCTTACAAGTTACCAAGCTTGGTAACATTGCGACTCACCAACTTGTCTTCTGTGATAACAATGGCAATGACACTACCATACTTTCTGCTGTCCAGCCACTAAATTCTATTTTTAGGCACCTCTTCTCCATCACCAAGTCATTTTTAGTTCAATTTTTCTTACAAGTAGACGTTGCCGGGGCAGGGAACCATTTCAGTTAATAGCCCTGGTGGGCGACGACTGTTTTTTTGAGCGCAAAATCTTCAGGTACTGAGTCGGAAAGCGCACTCTAATGGGTCTTTCAATTTCCACACAAAGTATAAAAGCGTAGTAGCATTTGTTTTGAATCAACGCCCTCTTACCTTTATCGGCACAGTCAATTTTGTCCGAGTTAACGGACCATACCTGTCTAATGACATCTATCACCAGCCTAGGAT